ATAATGTTCAGGTTGATAGTAATGGCATGCTTAATGTTCAGGTTGATAGTAATGGCATGCTTAATGTTCAGGTTGATAGTAATGGCATGCTTAATGTTCAGGTTGATAGTAATGGCATGCTTCATGTTCAGATTGATAATAATGGCATGCTTAATGCCGTCATAATACCATAATGATGATATATCCTGCGCTATAAATTGCTATAAATTACTGCCTAATATATTGTAGATAACATCCGTCTAAAGAAGGGGTCATAGCTTTAAACTGCAACCTCCTGCCGTAAACACTATAATCACAACATCTAGATGATATCAGTTTACAACATTTTCTTTTTAGCTATCTGATGTGCTGAACCGTTGTAATGTGTACGTATTGCAGACGTAGAACTCTATGCTGTACAGATTTATATACACTCCCTCTCTCCCAAACGTAATAGTCTTCTCCCTTGTGAGACGTCATCTTTGATGTATTAGATAATAAGTATAACAATTTACGGTAGAATTTATGCTGCAGTTATGTCATCAAAGCGGTGTTTATGCCATCAAGTGTGTCATTATACTGCGTCTGAAATGCGCTTTGTGAAAGTAGATAGGGTACGGTTAGAATTAACGCAGCACATATATACGGTTAACGTACCGGGGTCTCATTAGCAAATGGCGCGTCCGATTTTTATTTCTTTCGTGTTATAGTCTTGGCCGACTGCCAGCAATCGTAGCGGTGCCTTAATTATAATGCGAGCTCATTAAATTCCGTTTCGTTTAGCTTTTTAATGAGCAGCTGCCGATCGTTGTTGTTCGGAAATTGTCTAGAATTGTTGGCATTCTGTCTGTATGTTCTCGGTTCCTATTTAAAAGCCATCGAGCTGATAACGTGAAGCTACATAGATTGCAGTGTGTCCGATAATAGTTTTATCATTGGAAAAGTTCTAGTAGATTCGCATTTTTTTGTGATTTTATATCAAACTTGTCTCGTATTGCAAACTGGTCTTTGGGCCTCATTAAAGGTCTCTTTGGGTTTAGTATATGTATGTATATATATTTCTACAGATAATTATAGCTACCTAAGTATAGTCCTTCGTAAATTATAACCAGGATATATTATTCTATTGCTGTGCAATTAAATTTTTGTAATAATAACGGATATTTAAGTTTTTAAATCAGGAATATCATTCCAACTATGCAAAGATACTAATGGATAAGATAATGCAATGATCAGTACGGTTGGCATGAAACGGTTTATATAGCGTTTATATATATTTTTACATGGTGGCTGATGAAAAATGTTATTAGCAACATTAATAATAATAATAATAATAATAATAATAATAATGATGTTTTCTCTCTTATCTTTTAGTCAGAAGAGTTTTACAGCATTCGTAGGTTTTACACAATTCTTGGAACTTGTCTTTTTCATAAGGTAAGCAATAATGCTGGGCTCCGCAATAGCAGTAATAAGTAAATGATTTTTTTTTCATATTGATCGAGATAATTAGCACGTTCTCTTGTATTTACAATAGCATCACATTGGTTTATGGATTATTACAGCTTAGCTATGATACATTTTACTTATTATTTATAGAAATATAGATTTCTTTCATACATAACAGTTGTCTTTTCTCTCTAGGGCTACCTCATTGCAAACCACCTGCCAAAAGAAGACCTATTAGACGTCGCTCTCTACCTGCAATACTACCACCTGCTAGTGCTGACATCTGGTGATCCTGTAGGACAAGTTGTTGTATGGAAGGAAGTGTTTCCGACACGCCGCCACCAGGGGGCAGATGAGCCTGTGATTGCAGGATACACAGAACCTGATGGCCGATGGTTTTTACTCATTGTCGGCATGGTAAACATTTTTCAATGCGGGGAATCGATCCGCTTACTATTTATTAATTGCGGAGAGGAGAATGCGCACAATCTGAGTTCAGTCGTTAAATTATCATAAATGGTTCCCCTTTTACGCATATTAGAATTTCGATATGATGAGTAGGGCCTACAAAATTGGGAAAAAAAATTGTAATTGTTGAGAGGCAGAAAATGCTCTATCTCGGTACTCTGATTTGGTTCAAAGTGACTCGTGAATTGTATTATATTTAAAAGGATTGGAGTAGGTGCAGTGATATACCACACAGAAATGTGACATTGAAATGATTCATATATGTATACATTCTTCTGCAACTAATCCTTGTGTAGTAATAGTGGAGGCTTATGCTTAGTGTGAACTGTGGCATGGCTGTTATGCTAAATGTGTGTAAGTAGTATGCCCACCTTTCAAATTTAGGAGGTGTAGTAAGGCATTGTATGTATAATAATAAATAATGAGAAGAAATCGATTAAAATATTTTATATCAAGAGCGGATGAAAACAAATATGTGTTTTTATTCACTCCTGTTATTATATATAGTCTCACTGAATAAATGTCTTTACACGAGAGATGAAACTAGAAGTAGAGACCAGTTATAAGGGCGGCTTGATACATGATATATCCATTGCGAGTTTATCCTACTGGCATTCGATGTAGTTTCAGCCAAAACTGCTCATAACTCGCTGGCATCATTGTTGTTGACAGATGCATGACATGCTGGCAGTGTTGCTAGAGGCTGGTGGTTGTGCCACAGCCGCTGAGGGAGCACCAAAACCTGACCCGTTCTACGTAGACCAGGTGAAGAATACATTGCTGGAACTACAAGCAGGCGGGCTGGCAGCAGACTGCGAGACCAAGTAGGTACCCAGCTGATGGATGACAATTCTTGTGTCAGCGTTAGAGATTAGGAAAGAGGGAACTGGAAAGGAGTGCATATATATGCACCTGTATTTAAACACCTACGCACATAAACAAACGTGTACGCGCACACGCGCATCGCATACGCACACACAGGCACACACACACACATACGCACGCTCGCACGCACACGCGCACGCGCGCAAAGACACACAACACATTGAAATACAGTGAGAAAAATATCAGGAAGGAGAAGACGGAAAATGGAAAGTTAATTAGAGTTTATAAAGGCGGGGAAATAAATGGGAAGACATTGCTTGAGGTCATCTCAACATGTGCTTGACAGTCTAACTACCGAAATATACGTTACCTCAAACGGCCATTATTAACACGTACGCTCCTTGTTTTACATCAAACCTTACGGTGCGATCTCCAGACTGCAGTCGCCTTCGATACCGGCTCTCACTGCAGCTGACTACTTCCTCAAGACGGCCAGCAAGTCGGACAAGAAGGCGGAGAGCTCTCCCAAGCCAGAATCGTCGCCTTCTCAGCGAGCTAGCAGGACCGATGCACCCGCCTCGATACTGAAGAAGAGGCCTCCATCGCAGCAGAGTTCTGCTGCTTCTCTCGGTGAGTGTGGTTGTCTGAAGGGTGGCGTTCACGACCTGACAGCACTGCCACTGTGACCTACAGGTCAAGAACATATATCATAGAGTCCATATTTACCAATATACCTATTTTAACGCTGAGATCATCTAAAACTAACAGTTATTGAACTTTAGAAACGTCTTTATAGAACGCTGATGCGATTTCATAAATGCAACATGCGCAGCCACAGTTATTTACACGAACTACGAGTGACTGTTTTAAACTGCTATGGACCAGTAACTGCCACGTTTCTACGTCAAAATACACGCACTGTAAACTTTCGGAACGTGTCACAGATACGTGTTGAGTTTCATCATACTGTTCTCGTTGAACTGTGGCACAGCAATGTAACGACTGTCTGTGATTTCCCTCGTGGGTGTCATTAACAAGTGGTTTAATGTTTTTTTGCCTTGTGTCCTTACAGTTGTTGCTTTATTAAAGGCATAATTCGACCATCGATTATGCAATTTTAACGAATGCTACAGTAACTGGCACCTTGTGTAGTTAATAA